TCTCTCTCTCTCTCTCTCTCTCTCTCTCTCTCTCTCTCTCTCTCTCTCTCTCCGAAATGTTAAGATTACACACATGCACTATGAAATATAATTCTTTTCCATGATATATGTGTGATTCTATGTGTATACACGTGTAGGCATCCATACATGTGGCATTTGTCTAAATGTGTTCATGTGCATTTACATGAACATGTATGCAAGGGTAAACTTGTGCACAGGTACGAATGGAAACCAGAGACTAACAATGGATGTCTTCCTCAGTATGCCTCCACCATACCTTTTTGAGACACCATTTCTCATTTGACCCAGGAGCACATGAATTCAGCTATAGTGATCAGCAAGTTCCAGGGATCTTCCTGTTTCTAATCCTATAGCCCTGGAGTTACAAATATTTGTCACTATGTCTGGCTTTTACATGGGCATTGAGTATCTAAACTCAAGAATACCAAATTTATACGTATAAAGCAAGCACTCTATTAACTGATACATCCCCCCCAAGCACCTAATATATTTCTTAATAAGACTTGAATATAAACTTTGCTTCTTGATATACAGATTTCAAAATTGATGTCATACTAGCAGATGTGATAACAGTATTAACAGTTGCATACATTTTAATCAGAGTTCCCATGTCAGAGAGTCTCCATCAACTTGATTCTCTATAGAAGACTGGAATTCTTTACCAGCTCTGTTGGAAACAGATATGTTGTCAGCTAAGATTTCCTGCTGCATTCATAAAGAAGAGTTGGTAGATTTAGTGAAATTCTTAGTGGCACTATGATTTTATACTCTGAAAGCCACTAGCTCTCTTATCCTTTATTAAGAACATTAGTGATCTTCTCAATATTTTAGGCAGTAATTGACTTATCCTCTCCAGATTTCTATAGAAATCTTAGAAGGCATCTTTTTTCAAGACAAGGACATTTCGTCTACATTTAACACATGTCATTTAGTATAGCTACCTTCACACACTACCATCAACTATGATGATCCTTCTGAATGTCCCAAAGCTACACTAACTGCCTAAAAGTGAAGTTTGCAGTTATCACACATGTAGGGACCTTGTCCCTCAACTTTGGGAAATGACTTCTAAAACTCTGCCAGCTGCTTGTGAAAAACTTTGTTGTCCTACAAAGCTCGAGACCCAGGTAGCAACCTTACAACTCTACCCAAGATTCCAAGTACCTCCCGCCCACAGATCCATCCAAGACCCTGTGCCTTTTCTCCTGGTCTAGCTCTATTCCACACTCCACAAAGCCTACTTCTTAGAGACCATTCACTGATACAACTAATCTCAAATGCTAGAAGCATCCAACACATTAAGAGGAAGCTTCATTTAAACAGAAATGATGGTTGAAATGAAAATCCAATCAGAAACTTGGACTGAAAGGCCTGGTTAAAGAATAAAAGATCTGAGGTTGCTGTTGCAAGAACTCGTTTCTTCATTTTTACATTTGTCTTCTGAACATGGTTTCCAATGGAAACAACTACTAACAAACACTTTTTTTCTGCAGCCTCCTCATCATTTTTATCCTTAAAATAATTCAAGCAACATAGAGATTTGCTCCTGATTAAGACATTGGATTCACAGAGCAGGGCACCATTGGGTTTTACTTTTGAACCTGAAGGCTCAACCTTCTTTACATCAGCAATAAAGACGGACTACATCTTACTTTGTGTGCATTCACATGAATAGCATCTTTAGTTCCTTTCAAAAATATTGCTTTACATTCATAAACTGGTGAACTATTTGGGCTCAAACTGTCTATCTCTATTTTTCAATATGGTTTCTTCACAAAACTGTATCCAGTGTAGCTTTTGGTTTAAAATAAGAGATAGAATGCTGGACATGGAGACACACATCTTTAATGTCATCATTTAAGAAGCTAAACATGGCAGTATTATGAGATAAAGGCCAACCTGGGGCATATACTGAAAATGAAATTAAATGAAGGGAGGGCAGGATGAAGGAAGAGTGGAAGAAAAGAAAGACAAGATAGGAAAGCAGGAGGAAAGACGCTCAAGAGAGGCATGTGCAGTGTACAGTCAGGGAAACATACACACACCAATGAGAATAAGCATAACTTGAGTATTCTGTCTCCTGTGGAAAGGGTTTTAAGGAGATGGAGAGGAAACAGGAATGTTTCAGATTTCTAATAGGATTAACTGCTTAAATTCACTGTGTGACATGATTATGGGTCAAATTGTCCCAAATCAATGGTCATAACACAAACAAGGATCACAGAACACAGACACTATAATAAGTTAATACTTTAAATTACTTCTAATTACTGTAGTAATTAGCAAAATGTGAGTCAGAGTGATAAAATAGACACTTGATTTTGGAAAAACAGCATCTGTCAGCTTGATGGACACAAGCTGGCAAGGGGTCCTTGGTTTGCAAGAAATGAGTGAAGTAAAATGAAGTGTACTGGGGATAGAGGCCATCGTAGATGGAGTATTATCAGTTGCAAAATGGAATGAAGAATAATCCATTAAATTAGAAAAGAGGCTAAATCATGACGATGATGGTGCTGGTTATGTGTTTGTGTGTGTGTGTGACTGTGTCTTTGTGTGTCTGTGTGTGTCTGTGTCTCTGTGTGTCTGTGTATGTATGTGTGTGTGTGTATGTGAGACAAAGAGAGAGGGAGGGGGAATTAACTGACAATGACAAGAGGGCATAGATTTGAGATAAAGTTGTTGGGGAATGGGAGGAAGTGGAGAGGGGAGATGAGAGCTCCAAAATTATCCAAATACTATTAAACTACTAAACAAAATTTTAAACAAAAATCTTGTATCTGCTATCTTTGAATCTTAAGGTTGTTGATAATTACTTAATCTTTCCCTTGAAACTTTCCTGAGGCTTGATGTTTTCCAAGTTATCTATTATGATCATAATTTATATGAACTAATGTTTTCAGTTTTCAGAAACGAATGTAGCATTAGATGTAATTCCTTACTATTTATATCTTTATCTGGGAAAAATTAAACACAAGCTCATCAAAAATTCTTTTAAAATCTCAAAACTATTCATGATGTGTTTATAAGCCTTGAATCATTCTAAAAAGATTCTTACATTTTAATGGTAGAAATTAACCTAGCATAATGGAGAATTTTTGTATATATAAGAGATAAATTGAATCTATAAGAACTGCTGATTGTGCAAATTTTTAAAAAGAATTTAAGAGAATGTAGATACGAGAAAAACTATACTATAATTTTATTTTTTGGAGCTGCTCTGATTGGTATTTTATTTCTTCTTTACAAGTTCCACATAATAGACAAAGGCTTTTTGATAGCATATTGTTATCTTTGCTGAAAACACTCATATAATCATTTTAAACAACACAAATGTGTACATACATGACTAAGGTTTCTGCAGCCTATAAACACCTCTTTGGGTTTAAAAAGGAAAAAAAGCAATATACTGACAATTCAACTGTAACTCTTAGAAAAACACTGGTCTCCTTACCAAACGTGAGAGTCCTGTACAGGGACCTATCATTCAAGACAGCAATGAGTTCAAGCCAAGGGAAACCAGGAGTAGCTGCCCACACCAGCTCAGGAGACCCTCCCCCACCCAGCACCTCTTCAAAGTGCTCCTTATCCTCATCATAGGAAGACAGCAGTCACCAAGAGAAGACAGGAGCAGCAAATACACTTGTTGTAAAGTTTCTGAGTGTCTTCCACAGTATTTCACAGCCAGCATCTCCGGAACATGTCCATGCAAGCATGCCCACCATTCTTCAGACTGCTCCCCTCATTTCTCGAGCGAGGGAACCAGGCCTCCCTAATTTACTTTAGGTGCCTGGGATAACAAAGTATTTCACCAGAAACGGTGTAAGCAATGCTATCTAATCAGAGTACAAATAATGAAAAAACAGTTATCTTAAAGGAAACGTCTGCCCTACTCACACTAAAATATCAGACCAATGCACAACATACTGCAAAACTGTAACACAATATAGCCAAACACAGTGTTCAAATATTAAACTGTTCAAGCACATGAAGATCATCTTCTGAAAGACAAATTGGGTTCTTATTTTGTAGCTACCTCTGTGTAACTTAAAAACCTGCTGTCCCTCAACAAGGTCTGACACTGGTCTTGATACTTGGCAGAAGTTCGATGAGACAGTGAGAGCCCGACCATCAGCTCTCGGGATCCCCCAACACTCATCTTCAGAATTCATCCGAGGACCGGGCATCGTCTTCGTCCTTCACTTCTCGGTATCTCCCTGAAGACTCCCCTTCTGGATTGTAGCTCTGCATTTTAATATTCAGTCTCTCAGCTAGCTTCTGTGCTGCAAGCTTTGCCTGCATCTCCTCATAATTCTGCTTCTGCTCTTTCTGCAGGGCCAGTGACTCTTCTATGGAGAGCATCTGTGCAGGCAAGTGGTGGAGCGGAAGGAGGCGCGCTACTGTGATATCATCAAGATGCTGCCTATCCCTGCGCTGCCGCTCTTCTGAGGAAACAGAAGACTGGCCTCTCTGACAATGACTTGGTGAGTCACACTGCTGTGTAGGTAACACATTGGTCTTAAACTCATGAGGAGGGGGCACTGGGTTTCTGGCTCGCATTTCTAGCACTTTCATGTAATGAGGCTTCTTAGGAGTCTCAGTCAGCAGTTCTGGAAAGTTCTCAGTGCTGGTGTTTTCTTCTGAGAGTTCACTCTGCTCTGCAATTGTAACCTTTTGCAATTTAGGGATAAACAGACTGTCTATGCTGCTGGAAATCTCTTCCACTTGACTTGAAACAGGGTGCTGGGGAAGATGTTCGTTAACTTCAGATGAGGGTGTCCCGGCTCGGGTGTGAGCAGCTGGGCTGGGGTTCACTGTGCTGCCAGCCTCCAAAGTCTCTTCATTGCCTTCGTGAGTGAGATGTATAGGTTCCTGTGTTTCTGAGGTTCTTTTAGATGATTTAATGTCTATTGGGGAACATTCAGAAACTAATGAAGAAGTATCAAGCATCAGGTCAGAATTCTGGGCCTTGTCGACGTCAGTATCAACTCTTGTGGTTGCTTTTTGCCTTAGCTTACAGTCTACACTAACAGGATGAAACAGTTCATTTCTCCCTCTAAACTCTTCATGTTCTGAAATGGCAGCTTTCAGTTTGGCAGTGGTGTCTGAGATCTTTTTACCTTTGACGGGCAATTTGCAAATGAATTTTTCATTGTGCAAAAGTCTCTCCTGGCGCCTCAACCTCTCTCGCAGCTCCGCCGAACTCTGCCACCCCAAGTCCTCCGGAGCTGGGGGCTCGAAGCCGTGGGGCAGCGAGCACATTGCGCTCGGGCTGCGGCTGGCACAGCGGGCAGGGATCCCCAGCGGGGCCCACAGCAGGCGGAGGCTCCGTGGCTGGGTCTTAGCTACCTCACTCAGAATGATATTTTCTAGTTCCATTCATTTTTCTGTAAAACTCATGATGTCCTTGTACTTTATTTTTGGATAATTTATTTATTTACCTTTACAATGCCATACCCTTTCCTCATTTCCCCTCCCAAGAAATCCCCTATACCATCCCCCCTCCTTCTTTTTGCTTTTATACAATTTTAATTACATGCAAGTATTAAGGTCAGTTCTATGTTGAGGAACTACCAATACAATGGATGCAAACAGTCAAGGAACAAGCAAGACAATAAACACAAATAGTCAAAGAACAAGCAAGGCAATAAACATCATTCCATGAACATTGCCATGATCATCATTTCTAAGGGCTTATCAGGATGACCTAAATATCTGAGCCAAATTCCCTGTCCTAGCCCAAAATCATTTTCATGTCTGAAGCCTACTTCCTTGTTCTAACCTAATATTTAGATTCCTGCCTGAAATTACTGCTCTGTTCTAGCCTAATGTCATATTCCTGGCAAGCAGCACATTTCCTTGGCTTTGGCCCATGTCAGATTCTTGCTAAGCAGCCCCAAAAGCTCTCTATCTCTCCCTCTTTTTTATTCCATAAGATTGAGCCTGTCTTAGGTTGTTCTGACAAGAATGCCTTCCTTACCCGTCATGGAATATGCATTATCAAAAGCAATGCACTTCTGTCTTAGGTTGGTAAGGCTCTGTGCAGAATCTTATCTGTCCTTGGCTTGCCAGCCTGTTAATTTAATAACTCTGCCTAGGGGTCCATTTTCATGGTTAAAGCCATGTACTTTGGCTGCCAACATGTTGATGTAGATCTATTTCCAATTTTCTGAAAAACCTCCAGATTGATGTCCAGAGTGGTTGTACCAGTTTGCAATTCCACCAGCAGTGGAGAAATGTTCCTCTTTCTCCACATCCTCACCAACATGTGCTGTTATATGAGTTTTTGATCTTAGCCATTCTGATTGGTATAAGGTGGAATCTCAGGGTCATTTTAATTTCCAATTCCCTGATGACTAAGGATGGTGTCTATTTCTTTAAGTGTTTCTCAGCCATTCGAGATTCCCCTTTTGTGAATTCTTGGTTTAGCTCTGTACTTCATTTTTTGAAGGGTTTGTTTGGTTTTATGGAGGTTAGCCTCTTGAGTTTATATATTTTGGATATTAGCTCTCTATCAGATGTGGGGTTAGTGAAGTTTTTTTCCCCAATATATAGGTTCTCAATTTGTCTTATTGTCTATGTCCTTTGCCTTACTGAAGTTTGTCAGTTTCATGTGGTCCTATTTATCAATTCTTAGTCATTTGAGTTCTGTTTAGGAATTTTTCCTTTGCCAATGAGATCGAGGCTCTTTGCCACTTTCTCTTCTGTTATAGTCAGTGTATTAAGTATTATGTTGAGGTCCTTGATCCACAACTTGGACTTGAGCTTTATTCAAGCTGACAAATATGGGTCTATTTTCATTTTTCTACATACTGATTACCAGTTAGACCAGCACCATTTATTGAATATGCTTTCTTTATTCCATTGTATATTTTTGGGTTCTTTGTCAAAGATCAAGTGTCCTTAAGTGTCAGGTTTTATTTCTGGGTCTTCAATTCTATTCCATTTATCAACTTGTCTGTCTTTGTACCAGTAGCATCCAGTTTTTATTGCTATTGCTCTGTAGAACAGCTTGAGGTTAAGGATGGTGATTCTCCCAGAAGTTCTTTTATTGTTAATAATTGTTTCACTATCCTGAGTTTTTGTTTTCTAATATGAAATTGAGAATTGCTCTTTCTATTCACAACATAATTTCTTAAACCTATATTTTTACAAAGATTAATAGAATTTCCCTGGCCACTATGTTGATTTGGCAGAATTAGGTTAAGAACGCTGAACAGTAGGACAGCTGTTTTTCATCTGTGTAAGCAAGTACACAAGAAGCCACCTGAGAAAAAGCTGTTGTTTCCATAGACCTGGCAGGATAATAAAATAAACTTGACATTTTTTTGTTCTTTACAGAATAAACAAATATCATCTTCCTGTGAAACACAAGTTAAAAATATAGACAAGGAAATGTAGACTTCATAAAACAAGTGACTCTTGTCTCAGTCTTGTCTTGAAGTCTGGATATAGGCATTATATTGATGAACATTCTGTAAACATTGTTCCCCAATAATTTCTTATCAGATAATAAAAGACTGAAGCCTATGACTGGGCAGAAAGAGATGAAGGTGAGACTAGAGATTGAGTAGGGAGTCTCAGGTAGGAACCATGTGGCAAAGGAAGAAGGTAGAGGAAGAAGAGGTTGCCAAGAGGCAGGATGGATCTTGAGGATAGACCATGAGCCATGAGAAAATCACCATGATGACATGCTTGTAGCCAAACAAACAGAGCAAGACTCAGTTGGCAAGTAATGGAGGCTATGGCTGGGATGTAGATTAGAATAGCTCAGAACCTGTCCAGTTTAGGCTTGTAGACTGTTAATAAAAATACCAGGTTTCTGTGTATTTTATCTAGAATTTATATGGTGTAGAGTGGGATGGAAACCATCCATAAAATTAATTCTATATTACGTATTATGTTTGTGTTGATAATGCAAACTAGATAGCAGTTATTTCCATGTATACACATGTGTGTGTATATACATATATAAAATTGATGTAAGAAATGAAGAGAAAATTTGACTTGAATGTAGAAGTCTTGCTTGTGAAATGAAGACAGGAACAATAATGAGTTTAAACCTGCTTCAGCTACACAGTGAGTTCAAAGCCAACCTAGGCTACTCAAGAGTTTGTCACATAAAACCAAACGAAGACAAATTGTTCAGCATATCCATGCCTTTTTAAAACCACCACCAGTCTTTAAATTTCAAAACTTAATGACTTATTCTTATATGTAAGGATACCTGGAAATTTGCATGTTTGATGAAGATATTTTTGATGATGTGGCATTAAATTCCTAAGAAAAGTGGAAGAAAACCTGAAATGTTATTCTCAGATGCTAAAGAACCTGACTAGCAGTTAGAAATTAAGGGTGCCAGTCATCAATGAGAAGTATGGACAGCACTGAATGTAAAAATTCATTTGCAAAGAATGGAAAACAAAAGTGAATAGACTGGGCTGGCCTCTCACATAGCTTTATGTATAGATAACTCACAGTAAGTAAATTTTTAAGTATGATGTCCTAACACTTTTCAGAATACTCTATTACATGAATAGGGGTGTGTGGTTAGTTTGCTGAATCAGTTAAGGAAACTAAACAGATGATCAGGAAATGTGGAGGCTATCATGCAAGATAGTAATGTACTAACTAATTTACTGGTGTACATCCCTAGACGCCACAATAGAATAGACAGAGGAATCAGAGAAATATAAAGAAATACTTGATACACTGATATTTTGGAGCTAGACATGATAGGCCAACCAAAGTGAATAGTCACTGTGAGCTAGAAGGTCCAAGAAAGAGGTCTTCCTCACACTCTTGGAAAGAACAAAATGTTGAAGATAGAACCTTAATACAATGGGCTTTCATTGGGATTTAAACCATTAGAAAGGTTAGATAGAAACATTTCTGTGGCAATGAATTCCAGCAGGAAAAATTTAGTTCACAACCACAGGTAAAAAACAGAAGTGAAATTATGTTTTAAGGAAACAGAAGATTCTGCTCTCCTGTACCAGGAAGACAGTCACTCCCGAGTTCTCAGCAAGAGAGATGGAGTGCTTAGAGCTTAAAGGGCAAAGTAGAAAGCAAATAAATTTAGTTTCTAGGGATACCATGAATAATTCTTGATTAGCCAGCTGTTTATTATAAACGTGTTCTCATTAATTCTTTAAGTTAGAATGGGTTTGCACCTTGTATGTCATTTGTAAATCCAAGGGTTTTAATTAATAGGGCTTTTGTGCTGCTATCCTAATAGTAGATACACAGGTTAACCTAACAATGATCTTTGAGAACTACAGACTTATGAAGAGAACAATAATCCCTTCATTTTGACTAAGCCAATTGGATTGCTTTTAACAATGTAGAAGAGGAGTACTTTGTATGGCCTCAGTGGGAGAGGATTCACTTTATCCTATATATCCCAGAAAAGGGCGAAGTGGGTGTGTGTGAGGTGGGTGGGTGGGGTGCTCTCAGAGGCAAAGGGGGTGAGAGAAGCGGTGATGAACTCCTGAAGGGGAAATTGGGAAGGGGAAGTAACATTTGGTTTGTAAATAAATGAAACAATTTTTAAAAAGTAATTCTTAAATATCTCACTTTACTACTATTTTAACCAGCTATACTTCTTTGTATTGTCTCTTCTTTATATTTTCTTTTAAAATTATCTCTTTGAGAGTTTTATACATGTTATTTTTTCTTAATAAAATGTGCTAAAATACACATTGTTTTATACACTGAGAAACTAAGATTCAAAATATTCAAGACCTGAGTGAAAGGGAAATACAAACCTCAGTTGTTTTTACAGCAATGTTCCACTGTGTCATTTATTCAATCATGTTTACTGATAACTAATTATATACTAAACATAGTGACATCAAGCATTTTAGAATTCAATAAGGTCTCATTATATGCACAAAACATTCATAATCCTTGCTCTATTATCTCTATTTTACAGACAACACATAGAAACTCCATTGCAAACTTATAAATGATAGCAAAAGATGTCAAACCAGTTAGCCAAGATCTTGGTAATCCTAGCCTTTTATCTCTCCCATTCTCATTTTAGGTGCTGGATACACAGTCTGAATATATATGTAGTCTGATCTACCAGAAGAGGCATTGTCATTAAAGAGAGATAATAATAAAGCCTATAATCTGAGAGCACTAATGGTACTAGGATTAAGTAGGCAGATTGAAAGATGACATACGGAAGAATAATGAGGTGTCCAAAATTGTTCAAAGAACTTAAGAGAGATCTGAAAAGGAAAATGGGAAAGGGGGTT